GTGGGGGATGGTCGATCCAGGGGCGAGGGCGGGGGAGAGGGACTTGTCGCATTCCGTATGCAAAGTGCACGGGCCACGGGGACCCGCTTCGTCACGTGGAAAAAAAGGTATCATAAAAAAATGCAAGGTTACCCACATTTTTTTTTATTCTCTCCCCGTCGAGCAGCTTCGTGGCTGTTGCGGGGTGGCATCGATCGAGGGAATTGAGGGAGGTGGGATACGGTTGAACGGGCGGAGGGAAAGAGAGTTTGGTTATCGGTGAATAATACCGACGCACTTTTTATGCAGACACCTACAGCGAAGGCTCGTGGCCGCTTTGAACCTGTTAAGTGGGTAATTTCGTGAGACAAAACGCCCCCCGTTGAGGGGGAATTGAAAGTGAGACGCGACACGTTTACTCGTTGTTTTTAATTTAACTGAAAGGGGAGACGGATTTTCGGATGGGCGCGGTATTCGATTGGCTTTTTGTTTCGTTACTGATATATAGATATGTAAATAGAAAAGTGGGTACTGTTATTAGCCGCTTTAACTATAGTAGCGGAAATTGTTGGGGTAGTTCGCACGTTTCTGGTAGCAGTAGTATTAAACAAATATTATATGTTTTAATTTGGTGGTTCGATTATGTAGAAGGATTTACTATCATTAGAAATCGATTCTTTATATTCTAAAGTATTTAGGTACTTGTTAAATATATAAACCTTTTTCATGGGAAATAATATAATGGTGAAATTTATTATATTATGTTATTAGTTTATATTGTGATTAAACAATTATTAATGTTTGAAGGATTATGATTTTTGGGGAACAGTAAATTATTTTATGATGTATGTATTACAGTTATATATTTTGTTTATTATAAAAGATATTGATTGATATTGATTCAAATGAAATTGAAAAGCGGAAAAAGAAATTTTAAATTATGATGAAGTATTATTCATATTTATTAACCAGAGGGAAGTAAAATTTATAATTTTTATTTTTTGAATTATTGTTTTTTAGTATAAACATAAGCTAAAGTTCTATAAAATAAATATTAAATAACTAGGGAGTATTAATAAAATTGTTTAAATTTTTCACGTAAAACTATTGCATACCGCCAACAAATATAAAATGAGGTTCAATCAAACGTAACCATAATAAATGAAAATAGTTTGTGATAATCTGTGAAAATCTGTTCCACGTAGATTCGTTTTACGCGAATGAAAATTGCGTAAATAGAGTATGTCGGTACATGGGAAAAGAAAATATTATAAAGAGAAGCTGGTATAAGTTTTCGAAATATGTACTTATTTCACATAGTGAAACAAAAGAAATAATTATTATGACACTTTAGAAAACAAAGGTACATTTTATTAAGCGTTACTAAATTCAGGTCGCGCATACAAACTACCACGTAAATAGTCTTCTAATTTACCGCGGTAAAAAACAGACTCGCGTAGAAAAGTGCCACGTAAATCAAGGATCAGGTGTATATACTTTCTGTTTTCTTTATAATATTTACTTATCTACTTCTCTATAAGGATTTTGTAACGGCGCAACGTTCGGTTACTAAAACTACCTGAGTTCTTATAATCCCTTCCTTTTTTGAATATTCCATGGTAGATATTACTTAGAAAGAGCAGAAAGAGCATGGAAGAATAAGAAGGGAATTTATTTTGTTTGATCAAAAACCTAAGTAAACAATTATACACAAATCCTTGACCATTCGTAAAGGTAGAATTCATAGCATTTCTTTACAAGGAATGAAAAACATCAAAACAATTGCTAAAAACACTTCTCTGGCATTCTCCTTAAAAAACTACTATTTATATACCATAAAACGAAACAATTTCTTTTCTTTCCCTGTCGCTAAACTTAGACAATATCCCGTTACAATACCGCCCGAAGGAAAATTAACGCGTCGCCAATTGCAAAGATCAAAATATCAAACTATCAAACTATCCATTGAAATCGTGTTTCAGCGAAAGTTCATGAAACAAAGATTAAATGTTGAAGCTGTTAACTATTCTGATCCGAACTACGGGATTGCAGCAGGTGCGCATCTAAATCTAGTACGTACAATGTTTCCGGAGTAAGGACAACGCCAAGGATAGATCGCTACCGAGGATCCCCAAGGATACTGTGGCTAATTTGGAAATGGTCAGCGACCTCCGACAGTCGAAATTCGAACGAACGGCAACGCGGCAAGGTATTCAATCTCGCGGGCGAGCGCGCGGGGGGTATGTGTCCTTCGTGAGCGTATCGGAAGCAAAATGAGGGAAATGAAAGAAGGATGAGAGAAGCTGTCGTGAAGGTACGAGAAACGCCGAGCGATGAATATCCTGGCGGGAAAGCGCGCGGCCGATAGAGTTCCGAAAAATCTCGCCGGATAAGCTTCGCGTGGAAGGATAACATCGTGGATACGGACGCGCAAGGATTCCGGTGCCATGCGCGTATAGCTTCGTCCTTTTTTCGCGTTTTAACTACGGGAAAGAAGAAGATGAAACGCGAATAGTGAAGGGGGTTGAGAGGGAACAGGGCGCGGGAGAAGAACAACAGAGTGTTCGTCGTGGATGAAAGAGGAGAAGAATTTAAAGCGGCCGATAACTGACGGAGAGGGAGAGCATTCGGCGTCCTGTAGGATTCGTCGTCCTTTTAGGCGAGGGGGTGATAGAGAAAATCTGTGGAGAGACAGAGAGACGAACCAGTGGAACCGCGGACTGTAATAGAAGGGTAGAGAGGCACGGAAGATATCTGGTGGGGGCAAGAAGAGCTCGACGTCTCAAATTTGGTTGGCTGTCTCGGACTGTGTGCTTCTCACTTCCTCCCGTGGCGTTGTTATTCTTTCCTTCTCGCTCGTGTCTGAGCTACATCGAAGGAAGGGGACTTTGTACGATGGTGGTAGGTGGGAAAAGGAAGCCGCACCATGTGCTGGATAAAGAGGGGCTGAGGTTCGAGGAGGGTTCGAACGAGAAGGAAGGAAATCGGTTGAAGAGAGAAGACTAGAGGAGCTTGGTAAATTAAACGAAGATGGGTGTTCCTGTGTACCATGGAATGATAGGGTGGGGGACGTCTCGTGACAGAGACGAATGTATCGGCTGGTGGAGAGGTTGAAGGGAGAACGGTTGATCGGCCGACTAACATTAAGAACGGCGAAGGAGGGAAAAGCAAGGAGAAGGTTGGAGTAGGTGTACCGGGGTAGGGAAAGAGAACGAACGAGAGCGAGTGAGAGAACACTGGTCCGTCTATGGCAGTGCTGCAGAGGGGAAGGGGCGAAGCCGGTGCGAAGGAGAGAGTGGCGAAGGTAGGAGAGAGTCGGTGCGAGTGCTAGCAAGTGACGGCAGAGAGGGGGTGGCGGCGACGGCTTGAAGGGTAGGGGGAGAGCAGTGCCTTGGCGCGAGCCCGAGGACTCGAAACTCCGGAATTCCAACCGACAGAACAGTGCCGGCGGTCGTACGACGCGGGTCTGGAGATTGTGTATATTGGACAGAGCGAAAGAGCTAGCGAGCGAGTGATCGTGTGGGTAGAGAGGGGAGTGGCGGAAGAGGGGGGCGAGGGACACGAGGTTGAGGACGATCGCTAGGCTATTTACAATCGCAGTTCGAAGGATAAATCGTGTGCTCGCGTCGTCGTGGCATAGTTCTTTACGTTGTTCGTCGTGCCGGATTCGATTGGAAGAAAATTATTTACGGTTCCTGCGAAGAAGTCGCTCAGTTTCGGGCCGGTAGCACGATCACCGAACTTCGCGTGCAAGTGACGGTATGGACACGGGACCAGTGACAAAAGTGAGAAGTGATCGATCGTGATGACCAAATGATTCGGAGACGAGGAGTCCCGGTCGTTGTTCTTGGATCGCGTGAATTCGTACGTCGGCTAGTCGTCGAACGGCTCGACGAGTGAGACGCGCGTCGGGTATCAAGCGAACGGGCCAACATGTAAGTTGCACGCGTCTCGTCTTTTGTTTGTTTTTTTTTCGTTGGTTTCTCCGTTCACCTTCGGTTCGGTATTTGGTAAATCTCTAATTGTGCACGGCTGGAATTGCGACCAGGATTCGTTTGACCGTTGGGACACGGCGTCGGCGGACGCAACTCTGGCAGAGGGAAGCCGGTTCCAGTCATCCGAACCCGTCGAAGCGTCGTGTTCATCGTCGTCGGTGGAAAGATCGTCGAAGCTAGGGTGACGATGCCGCACGCGGTGATACACTCGACGTCGCACCAGCTGGAGCGATCGGGATTAATTTGGACTTTCGTGACTGGCGTACGTGCGATCATATGATAAATGTAGAACACGTTGTACCCCGGCTTTTTTGTTTTTTCCTTTCTTTTCGTTTCGTTCAGCCCCCTCGTACTCCAGCAGCGGTTACCGCCGCGAATGTTTCGACGGTAACACGTGTTACTCCTGTTTCGCGCGTCAACCGAGGAGACATCGTCCATGTGCTCCACGCGAGGAAATCCGTGGCAGCGGTCGTCGACGGCTGAAAGGAGGGAGGCGCGAGACGTCGCTACTTGACGCACGTGTTTACGCTCCCGACGTTTCAACGTTCCAACTTTTCTGTACTTGTTCTTACGGAGTCGGGAAAAGTGAAACAACGAGACGAGAGCATACGCGACGAGGACAACGCAGACTGTTACCGGGATTCCGCGGCCGCGCGTGGCGAGTCGACGCGCGCGCCCATGTGTAGAATATTATCCGGTCGTGTGAGGTGCGCCGATCGTCTTTCTCCCTTCTGTTAAACTGATAAGTGCTGTGCTCGCGACGATAAAGGGACAAAGAAAAGCCGACGCGCGGCTTTCTTTCTACGGAAAGACCACGAGCGTCGGACAAGCGAGAGCGAAATCGGTCGAGCGAGTGAGAGTGAGAGAGCGAGAGAGAGAGGGGCAGAGATCGAAAGACAATATGAGTGAGATGACGAGTGTGGAGCAGCAGCAGCAACAGCAACAGTGCGTGGGCGGCAGTTCGAATCCGGAGCATCATTGCAAGGACTGCGGCCTCTACTTCGAAAGCGATAAAAGTCTGGAAGTGCACCTGCGGTACCACCAAGAAAACCTGCTAAATCAGTGGGCGAGCCAGGCACAGCAGGAGGAGAGTAATAATAACAATAGTAAGGCTGGCAATCACAACAGCCACGTGGGCGTCAAACGCGAAAGCGTAACCGCGCCGGCGGACTCGAGCGAGTCTTCCTCGAGGCCGCCCTCGCAAGATCCTTCGTCCTCACAACAACAACAACAACAACAACAACAACAGCAACAGCAGCAACAACAACAACAATCGCAACAACAGCAGCAACAGCCTGCTGGTCAAAATTACAATCATTTTCAGGCGCCGATGTTCGGCGAGACGAACTATTTTATGCAGAACGAACCGGCCTATATCCTGCCCCATCATTATTCACCGCCACGAGAAGAAACGCAGAACAATGGTGGCGGTGGTGGTGGCGGTGGTGGTGGTGGTGTCAGCATCAGCGGTGGAGGTTATTCGCGCTACCATCCGTACCAGCATCAGCAACATTACCCTCCGGAACGCACCAGTTCAGTCAGTTCCACTAGTCCCAGAAGCCCGCCTCTTCAATGTGATAAGTGCGGTGCGGTGTACGAGGACGCGAATCAACTCGGTGAACACGTAAGGACGAGTCATACGAATTCACCTAGTGGTTATCCCGGGCAGCATCAGTACCAACAATTGGGCAACAGCCCGCAGCAACAAAATCAACAGCCGCAATCGCTACATACGTCGCCGTCACAGTCCGGCCAACAGCAACAGCAACAATCCGGTTACGATTACAATAGTGGCCAAGCGGTGAAGACGGATGTGAAGCAGGAGCCGGAGGAGCAAGCGGAGATATTGGATTTGGATTCTCACAAAGTTCAAACTCACAGATATGAAGAAGAACTTATGAGGCTCCATCAACAACAGCAGCAAGAACTGCAGATGCAGATGCATCAGCAGCAGGTGATGCAGCAGCAGCATCAGCAGCAGCAGAGGGCAGGTCCGCATTCGGTGAGTTCTATGCTCGGTTGGCCACCGGCCGCTCAACCTCATGATTATCATCCCGGGTTATCGCCAATGGGCCCGATGGACAGTGTTTCACCGCTCCCGGATCAGGGTCAATTTATGCGTGGGCAACATATGTCTGTCGAGCCGCCGCGTCATCCAGGCTCACCTATTATTAGCAGTACGCAATCGATCCCTGGACATCAGATGCCTGGTGGCCTCCTGCAGCAACCACCAAAACCTCCGCCGATGGCCAATCAATCGTGGAAAAGTAATGAGGCGCGGCGACCAAAGACCTACAACTGCACCGCGTGCAACAAGTGGTTCACCAGCTCGGGCCATCTGAAAAGGCACTACAATACGACGCTGCACAAGAACGCGGTTAAACAGAGCAACCAGCCGGATCCAGCCAGTCTCCCTATCAGTGCTCATCATCACCCCGGTAGAGACAATCATTCGAATAGTGGAAGGAGCGGAGGACCACCAAGATCACCTGAATTATCTGCTTCCGCAAGTCCCCCAAACTTGATGGCAGGTCCCTCGGGAGAGGCGGCGAGGGGCCTGCTTCACACGCCCACCACCACCAGTCTCTACAACAATTCCAACAACAACAGCAACAGCAGCAGCAGCAGCGAGTCTTCGGCGGCAGTGGCAGCGGCGGCTCTAACGCAACAACAACAACCGCCTTCGGCGGTCCACTTGGGCTCCACAATGGTGCCGTCGCTCAATTCCCCGGCACAATCTCCAATGGCGGGCCACCATCAGCAACAAATGGGTTCCCCATCCCCTCAGCTGGGCCTCCAACAGCAGCAACAGCAGCAACTTCATCACCTGCCAATGGGTTCGCCATCGGGCCAGCTTCCGGTCCACCATCCCATGAGTTCGCCCATGTCACCCATGCACCCACCACCGGCGCCCCACCTGAGTTCCCCTTCGCCAATGGGCTCGTCCCACCCGCACCACATGAGTTCGTCCTCTCCCATAACGCCGGGCTCGGTCCACCCAGCAATGGCTTCGCCCACGGCGATGGGGGGTACTACGATGCCTCATCAGCCGTACCCAAACGCCTTGCCCCCCCACGTTACAACTACTACCAACATCCCGGGCCTGCTGGAGTCTATCACCATCCAGCTAACTACTACTGGTAATGAGATGCCTTTAACGCTGTCTGGGCAAGCTCAACACCAACAATCTCAGCAGTCGCAGCAGCAGCAGCAGCAGCAATTGCAGTCTCAGGATGTTTTACCCGGTTTCGGCACCTTTAGCAACCATCAAAGGGCCTTGCCGAGTTTCACTCAGTTTAACGTTACTGGGTTTTTAATTGGCCAAAATCAACCTCAGGCCGTTAACGTGGGGGGGCTAAGTCCGGAGGAGAACACATCTCCTCAAGATAGATCTTTCGATTCATCTGGATCAAATTACGATCCGTACAGAACTTCGCCGCCACGGTACGAGTCCCTAACGAACTTGGACATGGATATGCAGCCGAACACCGACGGCATGATCATCAAGCAGTACGAGATCCAGACGCATCATCTGCCTCATCCTCTTCAACAGTCTCGGGACAATCACGAGGCGAACAACAATTTACCGCAGATGATCCAAGCGAAGGAAGAGTTGAACCCAAACGTCGGCAGACAATTTGAAAAGGATCACAAGTCGAAAGGGAACACCGTGGTCACGAAGGAGCATCAGGTGACCAGCACCAACACCGGCTCGCACTATATTTCACAGGACGGCTTTCACAAGTGCATCGAGTGCGACAAGGTCTTCAACAAGGCTTGCTACCTGACGCAACACAATAAGAGCTTCCACTCCGGTGACAAGCCGTTCAAATGCAATCAGTGCGGCAAGAGGTTCCCCCTCGAGTACCTGCACGCGGAGCACTTGCAGAAGCACGCCGGTGACAAGCCGTACAAGTGCGAGATATGCCCGAAGCAGTTCAACCACAAAACTGACCTCAGGCGGCACATGTGCCTCCACACTGGCGAAAAGCCGTACGCCTGTGATAATTGTGGCAAGGGATTCATCAGGAAGGACCATATGATGAAGCACCTTGAGACGCACAAGAAGAAGTCCAACAACCACAACGTCCATCTGCGGGCGTGATTTCTAAAGTTTGAAGGGACGTGCATCATCGTGGAACACGGCCGTTATTCAGTGATCCACGCCTCGGTCTTCAGTGTTTGTTTAGCGAAAGGTGAGACTACCGTGTACACTAGGAGAACTACCGCGTGAGCACGCGACTTCGTAATCGATATTCGCGCATTATCAATCAGAGACACTGCGACCCATGTGCGTACACCTGGTCGAACGTGATCAAATTTGTAGTTTATTATATATTTCTCGGTTAAGGCAGTCCCGAATATCTTTGTCATTCGATTTTCACGAACACCCGGGTCGAAAATGATATATTTCTCGAATCACCTCTGGATCGGCGATAGGACGACATCCTTTCGCGCCGTTGTTTTTTCGTTTGTACAGAAGAAAAGTATTACGTTCGTTTCCTTCGAGCAGTTCATCGATTGGTTGTTGTTATTTAGAGTTTAACTTTCTCGCGAACTCTCGTGTCAGTGATGAGCGACGGTGCTCGGAAAAGGATATTGGTGTTTTTGCTCAACCGCGTAATATTTATTTGACGCCAACTTGGGATTATTGAATCGAGATACATTTTACACGTTCCAACGAGCAGATTTGACATCTGTAAAAATTGAACGACGCGTGGCGGGCTATGCGGAACTTGATTTCTACTTTTCTTCGCGTCACGACCGATCGATCAATCGGTTTTCTAAGGGAGAATAACAAGGGCAATTAATTCTCGTTACACATATCGCGAGTCGCGATACGCAGAGTCGATCGTGAAAAGATTGGCGGGGAACGTCTTGTTTTTTTTGTTCCGATGCCAATTGCTCGACTCGGTGGATCACGATTTCCGTTTTAAAAGCAACCCGCCATGACGTTTCGGATATACATATGGTTTCCTTCCTCCGCAAAAAATAGCACACTCGATAATAACTCCGAAAACGCGCAATGGAGATTTCTAATGCGACGTTGGAACCTTCGAAGCTTATCAATTGTACAAAATATGTTAAATGTATAGGCGTATAATTATTCTAATTATCATCACTGTAATTAATTCAACTCAATTGAGTATCGTCTAGAAAGTGATTATTAAACCTATTCATAATACTCGTATTTTATAGCGTATATAGCGTACATTGTCGAAGGAAAAGCGCGAAGAAAAAAAAAGAAAAGTGATCGTGAAAAGACGCGACAGCGGAATCCTGGGATAATTCAATTTTGCTTGTTATCATTATTCGACTGACAGGATCTTTAGTCCCCGATATTACGTTAATTTGTTTGTCCCGCGTTTGTTTTTTCCGTGTACATTAGCTGTTGGAAATTATTCAAAGACGAAGTTAGGATATATTCTTTTATAATCACTTAACCAATTAAACGTATATTTAATGTTCAACTTACTGACACACCTCAAAACGTTCGTTACATTCCGCCGAATTTCACTGCATTCCAATTGTCGAGTAATCGTCAAGCAGATGAATTTCCACTCCGCCGTGGCGTCTTTTCTTTTTTTTCCCGTTTGAATTATAAGATAGCCTAAGTTCCGAATTGTACGTTGCCCGGATTGAATCTTGCTCGTGTCGTTTCTCTGACTAGAATGAACGCAATGTTTATCGGTGAACGCGTATCAAAAGTAGAAATCGATTAATCTCTGCTCGAAATTCTGTTATTTTCGAATTTTCGTCCCGGAAGTGTTTGCATTTTCATCGTTTCACTTAATGTCTCATTCAAATGAATTTTCGCGCGAACGTGTTGCGATTGATTCGCCCGTAATTTATAATCATTCTGGCATCCCGCGCAGCATGGTGCATCTAATTGCGCGACACCGTGACGTACGATCAATTAATGCTCGATTAATTGCCCGCGGAGCGCGAAACGAGCCGATCACCGAGGATAGGATCGGATCTCTCCTCTCTCGCGACACGAGCGAATTTCCCTTCGAGCTGCGCACAGCATGTCACATTCACACGTACACATACCTCTCTACACACAACACGCTATACACAAAATATAAACGTTAGCCTCGCTGTGACAAAATATATGCGGGGTTTGGGCATAATTGTTACTTTCGTTGATCATTGTTTTTTCTTTTTAAATCCATCATAGATATTCAATGCTTGTTTCGACGTGACGGACCATTGCATTTTGTAGTAGTCAGTTACGTTCGTTTGTTATTAATTGTCCTTTTAATAAAGAATCATTTGTTTGTAATTCATTAAACTGAACACGCACGCGATTGGTTTTCTATTTGTTCGTCCGAGCTATATTTTGAATAACGTTCCTCCTATTTTAGGAGATCGGGCCATTGAAAACAGCACACCTTTATGACGCGAATATTTGAGAATACTATTCAATGATAATTTTGGTATCAATGAATGCAAAGTATATTTTTCGGCACGACCATTTCTGAGCTCGCCGAATTTTCGTTTCGATTCGCACACCGAATTGTACATGCAATTACAGTATATTATATTTTAATGATACACGATCTCAAACACATACATACAAGCATACACATCACGCGCGCACACACACACACAGGTAAAACGTCCTTTCACGAGTTTTCGTTTTTCTTTTTGTTCTCTTTTTATTAGTAGTTTCGTATGAAAAAGCGACGAAGAAGTAATACGTGAAAGCGAGCAAAAAGACGATAAATTATATAGCACTCTTGCCATTTTTACTACGTAATATGACACCCAGAACAGACTACCTCAGAGTTCAGGAATTTAACGATGAATGAAAGGAAGAAAGAAAAGATGAAAGAGCCAATGCAATAATAAGTAATGTTATTAAAGAAAGAAAAAAAATGAGAGAATGTAGGGAGTGCGCACCCGTGCGAGCGGAACGATGTACTTGAAATATTGTTCTTTAGTTTGTATTAGAAAAGAATCGTGACGGTTGTCACCAAAAAAACTAGCGATCATTCCGAAATAAAGAAACAGTATTTTGAACATTCCATCCGCTAATCAATATTTATTCTTGTTACACAAAATTCCTAGTGATCTTTACAGTGATTCTCGAATTGGCCGGTGAATAAAACAAAAGAAAAGAAAAAGAAGAAAATCAGAAATGATATGTATTCTCTTTCCTCTTTGTTGTTGTCCGAAAGTTCCTCGAGTCGCCCGCCGGTCGTGTATTAGAACATTTAACGTATAGCATCTAATATAAACGAGAAAAAGAGAGATAGAGTGAGAAAGTACGAGTGAGAGCGAGAGAAAGGAAGTGAGACATGAGAAAGGGAGAAAGAGTGAGCGAGAGAGAGAGAGAGAGTGAGTGAGTTAGAATGAGTGAGAGAATAGATTGTTGGGGGAGGGAGGGGCGTAGAGATGGATGTACGTTTTAGAAACATATCAAACAGTATTACTGTACACTCAGTTTAATTATTAAAATAATCATAAAGTTAAAGGGTAGAGGCGGAAAATAGAGGAGAAAGAAAGTAAACGGTGCGTCGATTACAGGAGCGAGCGAGAGAGAGAGAACGATCGTGAAAATACATATTTCCGATAATCATATCATTGTCAGACAATTCGTCTTGCAAACGCGTTTAACTGCAGAAGCGCGAAAATGGTGAGTGTGTGAGAGTGAGGGAAAGAATTACGACTGCAGAGAAGTTTAGCGAGGAGATGAGGAGGAGGAGGAAAGAAAGAAACAAAGAACTGAATGAAAATATTGCGCGTTTTCGTTCTGCGATGAAATGGTGACAGAAATAGGTAGGTAGATAAATAGGACGGAGGCGAGAATGATACAGTAATCGCGTTACGAAATCAATCCACTTGGGCATTTAACTGCGAAATGTATTCTGCGAGCGACGACGAAGTGGCGAAAAACTACTTCTTTTTTTCGTAGGTTTGTTTTCAGACAAGGTGCGTTCCACTTGTTTCTTGTATTATTATAATTAACTATGATTATTATTATTATTATTAATATATATTACGAATATTATTATTAATGAATTATTATTACAAACGGCGCACATCGTTGGTATTTTTCACTCGTTCCGTGAGCGCGTTTTGGTGCGAGAGTATGTTTCTAATTGTAAAATAATTGTTCCGGCACACGAGTGCTAAATTATTATATATATATATATAAATAATTATGTATACATACGTGTATATATTTATATACACACGGTACCAA